CACCACGGCTCGTGATGATGGGCATGACACCTGGACGGGGTCATTAAGTGAGGGTCATTGAAGTCTTTTACTTTTTATGTCCAATTAAAGTGGGGGTGTTTTTGGTATTTTAGGGGTAAAATATATATTGGTTTTAAGTCAAAATTCACAAGACTTGGCCATTATTCACAAACACCCAATATTTCCCCAAAATCTTCTCCTCTCAATATTTCTCTCTCTAGAAGTTCCTCCATTGAAGAACACCAAGAACTTGAATGTTAGGGCTCAAGAATCCATCTTCTCAACTCCAATTCCTGGGCGAAGCTTCAATTAAGGTATGGGAACCTTGATTTATGTAACACTTTTCTCCATGAAGCCCTTCAACTCTAATTTCAAAATTTGGAATATCGTTCAAAAACTAGGGTTTTCATTCTAGCCATGGGTTCTTCCTAAAAACGATTTTATTATGTTAATTGCATTATATTATGGATGATTTGATGTTTAATGGTGATTTTTGTTGTAAACTTCCCCGTGAACTATCCCATGACCCTAATTTCATGAATTGTGATGGTTGTATTGATACAAGATGATTACTATGAATTGTTCCTATGTTAATCTAGTTATTGAATCTTGTTTTATTCTTGCTTAAAGTACTATTCCTAAGTGTTATTGTGAGACTTGGTTCATGACCCTTGAAGGGGGTAAATTGTGAAGATTAGTTCATAATTGGTGAAAGTTGTATGAGGACATACCCAGAATGCCTTGGAGAACTTTATTCCAAGCTTGACTAGGAAGAACCAAATTGAGTGTCAATCCCTACACTTCATAAAGGTAAAGATAATATGGTTAGCACATAAAGTACTAAGTATGATAGCCATGCAAAAACATGCTCAAAAAGGACATTTGTTTAAAAGTCATGATATATGCCATTTTGGTATAACTTCATGAACATTGATAAAGAGGCATAATATAAGTCACAACCAACATGCAAGTCACATTTTGACACTTTAAACAAAATCCCATGTAAACCTTTACCTTCACCTTAAGCCTTCACCTCAAGTAACCCTTATGCTACACCTTGTGAAATGTATAGACAGCGTCCCATACCACCATCGACACCAAGGTACCACATTAAGGTCACACAAAAGTGAACTTACCATTCATCCTTTCAACCTTTACACAATAAAGCATATAAGAAACATAAACATCACATGAATCACATTATCTCATTAAGACCAACATCTAAGACAACTCTAAGTCATACTTGTGTAATGTGCAAGTAGCATCCCATACTAATACCCACACTAAGTACTCCTTTGAAGTCACCATAGACAAGGCACATCCATATACAATAAGCCATGACAAGGAACTAACTCATAATACAATCCAAGTATAACATACATGACCTCATTCAAGCATATAAGTCAACATTCTTCATTAACTTCATTACATTAAGAGTACCTTCATTCATTATACCTTTAGACAACATTCTCATTAATATCCTCATAAGAGCACATTCATTACACTTAACAATATAAAGGAACACACCACAACCTCTCTCAAAGCCTATTTGTTGAATGCAAAGATGGTGTCCCATACCACCACCCACACTAAGTAGTGCATTCTTAAGAAGCCATAGTTCATTAACATTCTTTGTCGGGGTAAGCCTTAACCGACATAGACCATGTGAGCAATTCATGGAATCCCGGTGTCACCCTCACCGGATAAGGGATTCCTACTTGCCTAAGGTAGGACCATTGTTCTTTAGCTTAAGTGGATCCACTAGCTAGACCTATGTGGGCATATATTTATGGGATAAGGATATTGCTACTAGATACCCCACCTCAACTCACAGATGAGCATCCATCTCAAAAGATTGTTACTAGATACCCCGCCTCAACTCCCGGATGAGCATCCATCTCAATTCATATCCTCTCGGTGCTTAGCATTATTCCCCACAGAGTACATTACATTCATTACATTAGTTCATTATGGGATAAGAGATTGTTACAAGACACTCTGACTCAAATCCTGGATGAGCATCCACACCAAACCCAACATTCATTCATTCATTGGAAAGCTTATAGATTCAAAGATGAGAATATCCTTTCACCTAAGAATTCCCTTGTTATGAGAAAGTCCTTTCACAACAAGTCATTAACATTCGTTAGAGTACAATTGAGAATAGCCTTTCAATAGACTCAACATTCATTAACATTATCATTAAACTTCATTCATTCATTCAAGTGTGTGTGTGTGTGTGAGAATAGCCTTTCACATTGTCACCATCTTTCATAAGTGTCAATGGAGAGATAATATTCAATCCTAACACAATTAGCTTCTAAACATGATCATCATTCATTCATTTAGATCACACACATGATTCACTTCATAGTTATACATTAACCTCCACATGTAGGGTACAAGGAATTAATATGTATCCATCAATTAAATACCACAATATACTTAGTAAATAAACACCTCCACCTTTCAAGTGGATCAATAGATCAAGCACAATTTTACTTCAACATGTAATTAGGCCATAACTTGCCCTTTCAAGACCATGATCAAAACTTACCAACACACCAACAATTTTACTATAATTAAGGCATGTATAATGATTCAATTTAATAATCTAAATCAATTTGGGCATAATCCATCAACATTCAATCATGGCCAACAAACCCACTTCATAAGGCACAGTTTAGAAATTGAGAGAATTCATGGGTTCATAGAGTATTTTCATCATAAATAATCAATTAAACACTAATTCAATCATAATTTTACATTAGAAACCTTTTGAAATCGTTTGATGAAATAACCCATAAGATTGAGTAAAACCCTAGATTTTCATGATTTGAAATCACATTTGAATTGGCTCCTTGAATGAAAATTTAGACAAGGATCAATACTACCACACCTTTCTATTGATTCCCCACGAAAATTGAAGAAGAAACACCTTGAAATCCCCAACCCTAGCTTGATCTTGACCTTGATCTCCAATGTAGTTTCTAGAGAGAAGACTTTTTGGGAGAGAAGGGTTTTGATTTGGGGTTTTGAAATAATAGAATATAAAATAGAGTTTAACACTTTTAATACTCTTAAAATATGTTAATAAACCCAAAATAACCGTCCAAACACTTAACTAAGCAAAGGGTGAATTTACCACTTCACCCTCCACTTGGCTGTGTCACTTGACAGATTGCAGGCATGGTTCACGAAGCCCCCATCCACGACCGTGGATGGGGTCACGGACCATAATGTCCCTCCACCATCTGGGGCTGTGCCTTGATTTTGGGGGCCATGACCCACGGAGGCCATCCACGGGGCGTGGATGGACCTATGGGGCCTGGTCCCCTTTCGTGGTCCACCAAGTTTGGGGCAGCCTTGTGGTTTCAAGGGATCTTGGGGGTTAGACTTAGGGTCCTCCTCAAGGACCCTTAGGGTGGTCCTTGGGGAGTCGTACCTTGACGTTTAACCCCTAAACCCCTTAACTATAGCTCCGGGCAACATCAAACACAATCAAACCTCACACCAAACTCAAACACACACACGTTAGGCTCTAATTTCACTAGTTCATTTTTAGGGTCGTTACATTTCCTTGTTGATGAATATTGATTGTGATGAGGTCTAAAGATGCTATGTATGACTAAGGTAGCTTCAAGGTTGTACTTGGTATGGTTGGTATTATGGGATGCCAACCATACATTGCACAAGTGTTCCTTAGGGGTTGCTAAAGTGTTGGTATTACTATGTTGTGAATATAAATGTGAGTATGGCTTGTCTTTGACATTGAAAATGCATGTTGGTCTCCAAACTTGATAAATGCATTCTTTTCAACTAAAATGTCCTTTTGATCATATTTCAAGGATTTTATGCATGTTTCCATACTTAGTATAGTTTGTGCTAACCCTTCTTCCTCTACATTTTTTATAAGTGTAGGTTCCGGATAGGTGTCATACACTCTCCTTTCTTGAAAAAGATTTGGATTGCTTATCTCCAAGTACTGGTGAGTCCTCAAGTTCGAGGAAGGATTTCCATTTATTAGTTCCTATTGTACTTCTCTTATATTGAGACTTTATTGATGTAAAGGGCAAAGTCCCAAACTTTGTATTCTTATGTTTTAGATGGTGTATGAGACAACGTCTAGATTCTTATGATTTTCGATTATGAAAATGAAGTTTGACTTTGATTGTAAAAGTTTTAAATTTTTCCGCATTATTCTTATGACTTTATGTGTATGGTTATTCTAAGGGCTTGTATGTGACCCTTTCGGGGTCAATTACGCCGTTTTACTTATAGGGGGTAACCCTGGGTCGTGACACAAGGGGTGGAAGGTAGGCAACCTATCCTAATGTAAGTATTAGTGTCTGCTTCGAAGGCCGGAATTCGTGACCTATAGGTCACATAGAAAACTTTATCATTGATTCAAGACTCCCGTGCCGAATGAACATTATACATGTAAATAAGTTAAATCATTGTTATTTTTCATTTATATTTAGATTCAATTCAACCTTATTACATTGTAATAGAAAAAATATGTAGGCAACGTCCATTAGGAATCATGGTAATCACCTAATAGATGACATTATATGAAAACACTAAATAAATGTGATAACACACTTGAAAAATAGACTCAAAATATGAAAAAAATATATATATAAAAATACATATGACAAAATAGACCCGTGAAATGAAAATATTAAATAAAAATAACAAATAATTTTATATTTTTCTTTAGATTCAATTCAACATTATTACTTAACAATTGCAACCGAAAAAATATGAAGAAAACATTTGTTAGAAACCATGATAATCACGTAATAGATTCATATAATACAAAACACCAACTAAAAAAATTAAAATACATGTGACAACAATGAGACGTGTTGTATGAAAACATTAAATAAATGTTACAATACTCGTGAAAAAAGCACTCACACACAATCTATAAATTATAGAATTTTTCCTCTCAGAATTCCTTAACATTATTCAATAAAAACATCTTATTTTCTTTTGCAATGGAAAATGAGATCAAGAAAGGTAAGCAAAAGATTGAGTTGAAGATAATTGAGTCTGAGAGAGCACGCGCTATAAGCTTTTCCAAAAGGAAAAACACCTTGTTCCAAGATGCAGAAAAGCTTGCAAATAAGAGTGGAGATGAAGTTGGCGTTATGCTTTTTTCACCCGGTGGAAAACCATTTTCTTGTAGTTCCACAAGTATTGAAGATATATTTGATAAGTTTTTAAAAGAGAAACTAGAGGATCACCAACGTGATCATGCTAAGGGCAAATCAATTCGATTTGAGAAACTTGTAGATCTTCGCAAAGAATTGCAAACAATTAACAAGAAAGAAAGAAGACGAATATTAATGTATAAGATTACGCACCCTGGCTCAGAAATACCTCCAGATAAACACATGGAGGAGAAGAGAGTGGCAATGCTGTTGCGGGTAAAGGAAATTTTAATGAAACAAAAAGTGCTATTTTGCGTGAGCATTTCAAGTTTGATTTAAATGTTTTCCCTGAGACAGAAGAAGATGAGAGTTCTTGAACTCATAATTCACATGGAATTGTTAACTAAAGTTCTTGATGCTAGAGCTATACTTGTAAAAGACTTTATCAGTGATCGAGTATGCTAATAGGATTGTCTTTATTATTAGGTCACTTGTTTTTAGCCTTCAAATATCTATTTATATGAAGTTTTAGGCCACAAAAGAGAACATCATGGAGTTCTTATGTTATTAAGTCAAATATTTTTCGTTAGTTTTATCTTTCGTCTTTAATGATGTTTTGTGTTTTCTAGAATGATAAATCAATTGAAATATTTTATTAAAGTAATAAACAGTGTAAAAGTGATGGATCAAAGAAAAGTCTCGTACACTCATTTATTTTATTTTATATTTCCATCTTTATCAAGTTTAGTGCATTTACAATTTACATCAACATTAACTCTGTGAGATTCTGAATTTCTATAATATGAGTTTATTGTCTTTATTAGTCTATTCAATATTCCAAAAGGGATTGTGCTAGAATTTTCAACTCGATACAAGTATGTAACAAACTAGAGTATCTTATTTTTAAAAAAATTCTGGAGAACATAAGCACCCAATACAGGTATGTATTGCACCCAAAACAATTACATCAGCCTTAGAAAATACTTTTCTAGATTCCATTTTTTTTCAGGCTTAAATTTCATATAAACTAATTTAATAAATTAGTATTCCGACCTAAGACTAACCCCTAGCTGTAACTTGGTACTTAGAGCCACAAGTGACCCCAAGCTAAACAATGGTTTGGCATGACACTAAGAAACACAATAGTAACAACTGAAAATAAATGAATGTTGATGCTAAACTAAATTAGTCTATTAAAGATCACACACCTTCAAGCAGACAATATTTGAATTAACATAAGCCGAAGCTAAACTGACTATCTGATAACCTCTACTAAATTAAGTTTCTAGGAAAATCCCCTAGCTAACTATAATTGTCTAAAAACTGAAAATGTAATATTAAAATATAGATAGAGGTCGTCGTCGAATGATGAGGACTCACCAAAAGTTCTACCGAGCAGATAACTACGACCTGAATGTTGAACATCTGAACCTATATTATCAAATAATATAGAAAAAATAGTATGCAGTCAGCACTGATACTACATTCTCAGCCTAAGCTCCTCCTCTTGCGGATGTTGCATGTCTTATCCTCCTTCCCCTACCCTTACCCGTACCTCTTCCTCTGCCTCTGTCACAATCTCTCACTACAGGCTCAGTTGTTTGCTCTGTCACTGGAGGTTCTATCCTTGTGCCATTACATCAAACGTAAACCATCAATGGATAGAAGAGTGGAAGAGTTTGATGCCAATTTGAATTGTCAGATAATAATTAGAATCAAGTTATTGCGTGAAGGAAGAAAGAAATAGAATTTTCTAAATGCAAATACCAGGTTCTCTGATAAAACCATAAACACATACTTGGTCATACGACCAAAATCCAAACTGTTAGTATACCAGCGTGATACCAGAGCAATCCATACTTAGTGTACCAGCAGATACTTGAGCCATCCATAGTTAGTGTACCAGCGTGTTACCTGAGCAACCAACCGATCATGCACAATCACAAGCACAATGAACGATACCATTTTAAAACCACAAGTCACAATAGCAAGTCCATTGCATGAGATTATCAATATGATGTCATTTTATATGCCTCCTTATGTATTTTCTTCCACGCATTGCATCAATGACACTACAAAGTAATATACATGCAAACATAAATAATATGGAAACATAAAACCATCACCTACCCCGAATCAAGTCTCTGGAAAACTCTAAAGGATCAGAGCTTTCCCCTTTTGAAGTGTCTTGATTTGTTCTTGATCTAAAACAAATAATAAAAGCAACAATCAATCGCTAATGTCTTATTAATTTATCCCTCAGCCAAAATATGATCATCTTCCCTAACTTAGGACTTTTTCCATTATGGAATCATGTAAAAACTTCTCCCTTCTAGAAATAACCTAGATTTTAAGGCTTAAGAATCAATGCACAAGATAAAGGATTCAGAATCTTACTTTTATCGATGAATTCCATGGAAAAGCAAATGCAAACTGCCCAAAATTAAACCTCTCAACTCCAAGAATAAAAGTACAGAAAATAGGGATTTTGGGGCTGCTTTTACATAAAATCTCATTTCGCCTTTCTATAGCGGGCTCAACCCACTATAGCAACACTTACCTCGATATAGCTGTTTGCATGTTGCTTTAGCAGGGTGGCTCCCCCTATAGTAGGAGAGGTTAAAATTTAGAAACTCATAAATCCGAGAAAAGTCACTTTTTCACAATCAACCCATTTCCTTGACATCCCAACATATCATTTCCATGCTAAGATCAATTTTAGAAGTTCTAGCTACCCGAATTCCATTTTGTAAGGTTCTATGGACTCGTTAATGTCTTGACTATAGGAATATCTTAACAAAGACTCAACGTTACACCTCACCCATTCTCATATGGTCCAAGACCTCACCTAACACAAATTATGCTTAAGGCTGGCATAGTCAAAAAAATTAAATCACTATCCAAAAAGTTTTCTGGCCCAAATTTTTTAACTATTTGCCTACTCATAACGACTAGATCGGGTCATTACATCTAGTCATAAACTGATAAAGGATATGTGATTGTTGACAATTTGGTTAAGTATAGTCTCATTGCAATAACATTTTCTATCTAAGCTAAGAGTTATTTCTAATCATATACATTTCATCATGATTACATTGTTTAATGTTGTCATAGATATTTTATGTACCAACAAAATGCTGAATTTTACATTTAGAGCTTACAATTATGTATTCATTTTTATTTCTATGTACTGGTGCACTGAAGAACTGTAACGACCCATTAGGTCGTTTTGAGTATTAGAACATTTTCGACTCTTCCCATAAATTTAAATGGTAATTTTGAACGAGTTATTTAACTACGATTATTTAGTTTGTGGATATCTCCTAAATGATTAATTCTTATTGGTTGGTGGTTAATGGGCAAAGTCCATAATTTAGTATTTCTCTTACCACATTGCCCATGTGTAGAAACATATTAGTACTATTTAGTAGTTATTTAATTATCTAGTGGTTCATAATTAATTGCCCTAATTATTATATTTAAAAGAAAAGCAGTATCCTCTCGAAGAGGACTTCGGCGATAACCATTCCAACTACATCAGGTAACCATATCTAACTCATCATATTGTAGATATGGATAGATTATGCAGTTATTATTATTATTATTATGAATGTTGAATCATCTGGTGAAAAATAAAGAACAGAAGTGGTTGTTGGGGTCATTTTTAATTGGTAGTGATGAGTCCACTATTTGGACTCATTTGGGGATTTATTTTATTAGATTGAGTGTCCTCAAATGCATATTTTGTGCCAATAACTGATGTAAATCCTTGAATTTAAGGTATTTGGATTGAGGAACAAAGCATGGACACTAATGAGCAAAAAGGAACAAGGTAGTCGAAAGAACGAAGAAAAGAAGGCTTGAGGATTGCCTAAACCATTAGGTGAGTCGCTGAATGGTCATAGTCTCGCCTAATGTTCCAGTGTACCAAGCCCTGAAGGAGAAAATCAAATCGGTGAGTCGCCGAACGGTTTCGCGATGCAGGGCTACATCTCCCAAAGTTACAGAACTTGAAGATGCTGAAGGCCAAAGCAGAAAGGCGATGGAATTGACCAAAGGACGGATCGCCAAGTGGATCGGCGATCCCGACTTATTGTGCCGAATGGACCTTCGCAACACATTTTTCGGCGACTATAAATACATGTTTGAATTTTCAGCTTAGTATCAATAAAAATCAATTTTTAGGCGATTTTTGTCAAATTTTCATTATTTTTGAGTTTTCAAGTTTAGAGTTGAGAACTTAGAATAGAGAGACAATATTTCCTTAGCTTTGAAGATTGGAAGATTTCCATTTCTGACAAATTGGAAGTGAGTGTTGAAGATTCTTCATCTTAGACCTCTGTAAAGACAATATTAATCTTACACATTTAATGGAAACACAATTTGGTAACGATTTCTGCCTTTTATGATGTCTAGCTAAAACCCCAATTCTTGGGATGTGATTATAGGTTGATTTAGCTATTGGGTAATTTTAATTGATAGTTTAAATATTGTTTAAAAGTGATTTCATTTAGTAATTGTGGCTTAATCTAAAGGGTTGTAGTTGCAAATGCAACTCTGCCTTTGTGTTTTTGGCTTGCTCAAGAGAGAGGTTTTAAAACCAAGATTACTGATTTGATGGTCTGTGGGTATTGGGTTGTCATGGGTTCAACTCGAGAGAGTGAATCCTAAACCCTTTTCCACACATTCAGCTCGAGAGAGTGAATGGACTAATGCATAGGCTGTGCTTAATTGTTGCTTATTGGTGTTCGAGAGAAACAATTTGATTCGGGGTAAATTGTTTGAGAGAAAGTTTATCCCTACTAAAGGCTAGCTTATTCACTGATTTACAGCTATTTACTATTAATTGCAATCACCCATTTGTCTACCTTAGCCCATAATCCAATCACATCCCAAGAACTCCTCTCTATATTTGTCAATTTCGTGTTGTTTGTTTTTGTAACTGATAGTTCAAACCAAGCCCCCCTTGTTATTTGACACTTGTGTCACCCCTAACTTGAACAATGCTTTTATTCATAAATGTTTTTATCTATGATTGACTAGAGCATATTCATGCTTTTCTATTGATTCTTGAGTATGTACCACTCCTTGTGGGATTCGACCCCAACTCACTTAGTTGGGTCATATTACTGACTAACGATCGTTGGCGCTTAATATTGGATGAAGTTTCCTGATACGTGAAATCAGGTATATATGATTGAGTAGAGTTAGTATTAGGAAGGTACTGATTGGTTGAAGAATTTAATGGTGAATGGTGATTGGAAAGTTGAGACAATCATTATTGACCAACAACTAGAGATTTGTTTGCAATTGTTAAATTGGGTTCATGATGTTGCTAGCCTGCCACTAGTTTCGTAACCAGTGGCCTAATTTTTAATATTATAATTTTGGTATGATATAATAAGCCAAGGTTTGATATATTGAGATAAGTAATGAAATATTAGGTGTATTATATTACATATTACTATTAAAGTTGTGCTAATTGGAGGAATTAAGACTTACCCTTAGGTTTGAACTTTAGGAAATTGATTATAAAGTTAGGTGAGTTTTTGGGTCTAGGTTAGACATAGAGTAATATGATGTCGATAGACTCGTTAACTTACAAATTATGCATATATACCTAATAGATTGGAAACATTTGGAGGCATTAAGAAAAGTAAAAATGTTGGAGAATGTCACGACCCAGACCATCGTGATTGGCACCCACACTAACCCTCCGGTTGGAGAACCACTACTACAATAGAAACCAAGCAACTAAACCAACAACTAAGCATTTATGTTGCAGAAGCAAGTTAAATACTAAGAAAGAAATAGGAAGTTCCCATAAACTCTAAACAAAAGTCTAACAACTAAAACAAATGCGAAAACAACACCTAGCACCTGAAAGTCAATGTACCAAAACATCTAACAAGATCCATAAGTCTAAAAAAAAAGGGTTCCAAACCCAAACTAATGTGCTAATAACTAATTAGAAATGTCTAAGTCCGAAATGTGGACAAACGGAATGAGAACTCATGGCAGCCCGGAAGAACTGACTCACCCTTGAATTCGAAAGATGATCACTGATCTTCTAAGCGAGGTCTGTCAATAGCCACCTGAAGATTCCCGGTACTTAGCAAAGAAAGAGAAAGTGCAGTACCAGTATACAACCATAGTGTACTGGTAGGATCACGCGGCTATCCCACTAAGTTCAACATACATAAGTCAAAACAGAAATACAATAACATGCATCACCGAACATATAAAGTATCATCATCATTTACGATCAACGAACAGTTTCACGATTCTCAAATATCACAGTTATATCAAATCATTGGTCTTCTCATGGAACCCAAACCCAAATTGTTAGCATACCGGAACGTGATACTCGATCCAATGTTTATGCCGAAACATGGTAACCGATCCCATTATTATGCCGGAACGTGGCAACCGATCCAAGTTAGTATGTCAGAACATAACACCCGATCCATTCAACAAGCCACAATTACAATCACAAAGTACATTCTAATAATCATACAATCAAGTCATGATTCATGGCATTCACCATTCATATCCTTATTTACAATTAATGTGATTAATAATGCAACATTCACATACATACATGTATCATAATGAAGCAAGAACAAACATACATCACACAATCATAGAATCACAATTATCACCTACCTCGAAACAAGCTTGAAACCCTAAGAAACTTGATCCTTCCCTTTCCGGATTCGTTCCACTTGTTCTTGGTCTACAAACAAT